GCTATACTGGTACATCTGCCATACCTGGTACAACTGCCATAACCTGGTACTTCTGATATGCTGATCCATTTATATCGCAGGTATTTATCTATACTATATTGATATAGTACATAATTTATTTATTGTTAGCCAGTATTTAAGTACATATAAAAACTAGTACATGAAAGTATGCATGTATAAAACTAAGTGTCTGATCATGTTGTCCATTTTAGTAGCCTTGGCGATAGAAATTGCTTCCTTGTCCACTTACAATTATCACATGAGAGCCAGCTGTCTACAACTTTTAGAAGAACTATTGTTGGGCTTGACTAACCAATAATCACATAGCTCTTTATTGCTATGTTCACACGGCCATTTTTGCTGGCTCGATAAATGCTGTTATGTGAACGTAGCATATATTGTGATACAATGTGTGTTCATTTCTGCTAAGAAAATTTAGAAATTAAGCCTGTTTTAAAGCTGTAGTTTGTGAGTCAATTTTGGATAAAGCCAGTGGTTGTTTCTGGCTACTAGTACATTATTTGCTTGATAACTGGAAGTCAGAAGGTAAATATCCATCTCTTCTATCTTAGGAAAAATTGTTGACATTAAATAGTGCATTTCCAGATATGCCAATAATGAAGATCAGGAAATTACTTGAGGATCAACGGGGAGACATGGACAGAGTGGCAAATTTCTTGTTAGATGTGACAAGTAAGTGGATAACCCATAAAAAAATTCAGGATACCGTAACCTGGCAAACAACATATTGTCAGTCAGGTTATAACTTAGGTTGTATTTTCTCTGTGGTCAGTTTGGAAATAATAAATCAAACAACATGTTTGTTCATGAGAAGGCCTATAGACCATGTTTATTTTTAATTTAGCAACCTAGCCATAGTATGTGCCAGTGGAAGTGAGTCACAAATTTTGGCTGTGTCTGCTGTAAATTTGACAGATTATTTCTATTATAAACTCCTGTTGAGAGTCAAGTACTTTCGATCTAAACAAGTGAAGTTGCATCTGCCAACATGCTTTAGTTTTGTTTGTGGGTGTTGTATCATGTACTTCTATTTTGTAGCCTCTGGTGAAGTTCCTGATATTGTAGTTTCTGATGATAGTGATGATGATATTGATCACTATGGGACAGTGAATATGAAACTTGCAGGTATGTTTTTTTTTGACACACCTATTAAATGCAGTGTTTTTAGTCCCCGTTCGGACGTAGTCCGAAAACGGGGACTTATGGTTTGCCCTGTGTGCGTCCGTGCGTCCGTGCGTCCGTGCGTCCGTGCATCCGTGCGTCCGTGCGTCCGTGATCACCTGTATCTCGAACATGCATGGACCGATTAAGTTCAAACTTCACTCATACATCACACATTATATGGGACATATGCACATGCATTTTTTTCATGATCCGATTAACGATAGCCGAATAGCGGCCATTTTAAGGCCGAAAATGCATCAAAATCGCACATTTTCACCATTCCGGACCCGGATCTCAGTTATGCATGGACAGATTTTGTTTAAATTTGGTACATACATTAAACATAATAGGACCTTGATGCACGTCTTTTTTTTTTTTGGATCGGGTTCGAAATAGCCGACTGGCGGCCATTTTGTTTTAAAGAATTCAGTTCTGGATCCGTATCTGAGACATGCTTGGATTGATCGAGTTCAAACTTCACACACACAAGGTACATCATGTCACAAATATGTATGTGCATTTGTTTCATGATCTCATTAACGATAGCCAAATGGCGGCCACTTTAAGGCCGAAAATGCATTGAAATCGCACATTTTCACCATTCCGGACACGGATCTCAGTTATGCATGGATGGATTTCATTCAAATTTGGTACATACATTAAACATAATAGGACCTTGATGCACGTCATTTTTTTTTCCGGATCAAGTTCGAAATAGCCGACTGGCGGCCATTTTGTTTTAAAGAATTCAGTTCTGGATCCGTATCCGAGACATGTCTGGATTGATCAAGTTCAAACTTCACACACACAAGGTACATCATGTCACAAATATGTATGTGTATTTGTTTCATGATCTCATTAACGATAGCCAAATGGCGGCCGCTTTAAGCCGAAACTGCATTGAAATCGCACATTTTCACCATTCCGGACCCGGATCTCAGTTATGCATGGACGGATTTCATTCAAACTTGGTACATACATTAAACATATAGGACCTTGATGCACGTCATTTTTTTTTTCGGATCAGTTCGAAATA